TCTATTATTGGCATGGTTGTGCTTAAGTTAGTTATCTCAAAGTTCCATTTTCTTTCTTTTTTTACTGAAGGGTCTAAAGTCTATTGTCATTCCTTGAATATTAAGAACTTTTTTTAAAAATTTAACTTTATTTTAATTTGATCGAGAGGGACAGAGTGAGAGAAAAAGAGAGAAGAGGGAAAGTGAGAAAGCAAGCCACTAGGTCTGGGACTCAAACTGTGGTCAGCCATGTGGGAGTCCAGCACCTTCAACCACCATGCTACCTGCCAGTCCTAAAAACTTTTGATTACATCTAAGGCGGTCACATCTTGGTATTTCTTTTATTTTTTTCTCCAGAAATAATCTCCTACAGGTTTATTATTTATAAGTTTCAATTACTCAGAATTTTTGAAGTTTTACATAGTTCTCATTATAAGCTGTCAGATGATAATAGCTTTACAGTTTAAATTTTTTTGTTGTTGTTTTCTATTTCTCCCACTATTTGTTCTTTTTCTGCTTTTTTTTTTAAACAGGTTTCTTTTTTTATGATTCTATGTTATTTCTTTTGCTAATGTATTTGCCAGAGCTCTTTAATTTTTCCTTTTTTTTTTAAGCTTTTTGCCATAGGATGTGTGCAATCCCTGGAGAGAGACAGAGAAAAGGAAAGCAAGAAAATCACCCCCCCCCCGGGGGGTGTGTGGCCACACCGCAATACCTTGTTCTCCATTCTCTTCTCAGGATCTTGGGCATGAACATACACAAATCTAGAGTTACTTAACCACCACACCACTTGCTGGTCCCCCCCAGAGTGATTTTCAAGGCACTGGGTCCAGGACTTGGACCACGGTGGGCTCGTGGGAATACAATGCCTTAACCACTATGCCGCCTGTCAGCCTCTGATTTTTCCTTTTATTTATTTATCTTTTAAGTGTATTTCAGCACACATCTTTAATTTACTAGTCTACTTTTTAGAAATACTATGCTGGGGCCAGCAGGTGGAGTAGTAGTTAAGGAACTGGACTCCCAGGATCTGAGTCCTGGACCCGGTAGCTTGCTTTCTTACCTTCTCTAGCTTTCTCTCTCTCGGGTGAGTTCTAGAATCAAATAAAAAAAAATAACAATAAATAAAATAAAACAATTATTTAAAGACAAAATTATACTATGCCATTTCACATACTATGTAATAAATTTACAGTAGTGTATTTCCATTTTTTCCCACCCTGGGCTATTTACGGGACTATTGTCATATAACCTCCTTGTACCTTTGCTAGAAATTCCACAGTACATTGTAATTATTTTTGCATGAAACAATTACTTATTTTATAAAGCAATTTAAAAATGTGAGATGATTGCCGTGTGAGTCCCTCTGCGCTGCATCCCTCTGAGAGATCCGCAGGGAAGGAGGGCCCTGCCTGCAACTCTGCCTCAGATATGTCACTGCTGCCCTCTGCTTATGCCTTTTTGCTGCCTTGGTGTATCTGGAAAATCCTTCATTTCACCTTCATTTTGCCTTTTGCTGGCTATATATATATTTTTTAAAGAATTATTTTATTTAACTTCACTTATTTACTTTAAGCAGAGAGGGAGAAGGAAAGTGAGAAAGCAAGCTACCAGGTCTGGTACTTGAACTGTGGTTGTCCATGTGGGAGTCCTGCACCCTTAACCACCACGCCACCTGTCGGCCCCATTCTAAATGGACTGATGTAAGTTTTGTCTGGTTTATTAGGGCTTTGGATATTTTTAAAACTTTCAGTGTGTTCATTTGTATCATTTTTTACAAGAAATCTGTCTTCTTGGTCTTCGATTCTGTTATTCCTTAGATAGAACTACATGGTTAGCTTAGCGTAAGTAATGCCGTTTTGTAAAGCACTGCCATTTTGTGTCTTACGACATGTAACAGCACCACCCTACCTAATCCCCAGACGTGCGGGCAGCACACCATGGCTGCGAAACCACAATAAAGAAACTAGACACACCCAGGTGGCCGGTAAAACCAGGGCCTCCGCAGAAACTCCTCGGAATTGTCACTCGGTTATTCTGAGTGGTCAGAACAAACTTTCCCCCCGAGAACTGAGCTGAGTCCTCCCTCAATCTCGGACTTCAAACTGTGAGACGGAGCTAACTGAGTCCTCCCCTGGTCTCACTTCTTGCCCAAGACGGAGCTAACAGAGTCCTCCCCTTGTCTTAGATGCACCATCACCGGCTCCTCGGGACATCATCACTGCATGGGCCAGCCGCTGGTAACAACGAACGCTAGTTCCAGCCTATCTCCTCTGGCCAGCCAGCCTGCCTCTCTACGATCGCGCCTAGAGTCCGCTCCAGTGTTGGAACCCATGCCACGTCCACTGACGCCAGCCTACGACACCCTGCGCCACGGCGATTCAATCCTTTGTGAGTTTTCCCCCCTGCAAATAAATATATGTTAAAATGCCCATCTGAGTCCGTCTCTATCTGCAAGCCTCCAACAGGGGTACCTTTACTGTCCTCTGGGACCGTCCTGAACCGTAAGCCATTACTTAATGTCGCACCCCACTTGGTTAGGCATCCTCTCTAATTAGCTCAGGATTTTCCTCTTTGTGACTTATTCTCAATACGTAATGTCTGTTTTTCAATTTTTCCCTCTATGGCTGTCTCTGGTTTTGGCTGGAGGCACATACTCTCATTGGAGAGAGAAGGGCTCTCAGATGGGGAAAGCATTCCCCAGTGGAATGTAGCCAGGCTGCACTCTCACCTCATCCATTTCTCCATCCTGGAGCATGCACACACACCTGGAAAGTTCTTTGAGCCGCTGGGGCCAGGCTTTGAACCGCAGTCAACCATGTGGGATCTGGTTGACTGAATCAGTAGGCCATGGGCCAGCCCTGTCATTGATTTTAAGCAATTTGGCTATGATGTGCTTTGGTGTGTATTCTTCTTTCTAGGGTGTAGGCATTCATTGAGTCTGGGTTCATGGATCTACAGTTTGAATCCAGTTAGAAAGGTCAGGCCATTACTCCCAGACATCGCTCCTTCCCCTTCATCTCTCCTCCTCTCCAGCACACCACATACACCAGAGCACAAGACGGTGCCCCGTAGCTCCTGGTGCCCTGCTCACTTGTTCAACCTTTTTTTTTCCTGCTGCGATTTAGTAGTAATTTCTGCCTGTCTTCAAGTTCACTGATCTTCCTCCTACAGTCAAGTCAATCGCTGACCCATTCACTGCAGTTTTTATTTCAAACCCATTTTTCATCTTTAGAAGTGTGCTCCGTGTTCTCTATCTCCAGCACATGAAATATAATACATATTTTCACATCGTTGCCACTACTTAATCTGTGTCTCTTGTAGGTCTGTTTCTAATGACTACTTTTCCTCCTTATCGGGGTCACATTTTCCCAGTTCTTCGTGGGTCTCGATGTCTGGCTTTCCGGGGTGCAGTTTTGGTTTTCGGCCGGAGCTCATGGGCCCCTCTGCGGAGGCAGCTCCCTCCCAGCTCTCCTCCACATGGCTGCTGGGATGAGGTGAGCTCCTCCGAGTGCCCTGCGAGCAGCGGGAGCTGCCCCAGCTGCCCCTTCCCGAGGTAGGTCCACACTGCCAGGCCGGCCCCTCAGCCATGGGAACTACTCTGCTCAGCTGGACTCGGGGAGCCCCTTTGCCACACCTCATAACTCTCTTCTCCCCGACTCTGCTTTCCTGCTTCTCTACTCTGCCCTTGGTCGAAAGGCCGCGGACTCTGCCTTGCTTCATTTATCTCCCTGGGATCAGAGATCCTCCTGGTGCTGGGGAGCCACGTCTGACAAGTCTTTCGTCCATGCTGCCCCATGGACTGGGTGCCGAGGCAGGATAGCGAGCCTGGCTCCCATCCTTCGCGGTGGCCGGTGCCGAGGCCCGCGAGTGGAGCGCTCTGGCCTCGGCCCGTGGGTTCGTCCCATGGGGCAGAAGCTCCGTGGAGGTGGGGGTGTTTGGGAATGTCCCTGTTTTACTCCCTGCTGTATCCCCAAGTCCTGGCACACGGGGGCGGCCATGGCTGCGAGGCAAGAAGGCCACCTCGACTTGCCCTACAGGCTCGGGCGCAGCGCTGAGAGCCACGATGTCGTCTCTCTTAAAGAAAAACTGAACTTTTCTGTTTTTTCTTTCTCACATTAGAAAAAAGTGAAGATTTTAGGTCTTTTGAAATCTGCTAAATAGTGTCCAAAGCAGAACAAGAAATAAATGGGAGAATTTTTTTTTGAGAGGTTTTTCGCTATAGGGCGCGTGTGCTCGCCAGACAGACAGAGACATAGAGACAGAAAGCGAGAAACCACCCCCCAGGGGGGATGGTCACGCCACAATCCCTTCTCCTCTAGGGATCTTGGGCACGCACACACACACGCCCAGCGTAAGTTTTAAGCCACTGGGTCTGGGACGCGAACCACGGTCGACTACGTGGGAGTCCAACGACATAGCCATTACGCTAACTGCTGGTTCCCATAAATGGGAGAATTTGAAGTTAAATCAAAGTAGGCATTTGCTTTGGGAGCTGCGATGGGGCGAAGGCTGTGCAGCCCGCCTCCAAATCCCATCAGGCGCGACAGAAGACTGGAGCGGCGCACAGGGATCAGGGGGCGCCGAGGCGGAGCTGGGGGACCCGCAGGAGAGCCGGCGTTCCAGCAGCGCCCACTGCCCGACTGCGGCACGGAGCGCGGGCGGGGCCTGCGGGGCGGGGCCTGCGGGCGGGGCGGGGCCTGCGGGGGCCTCCGTGCAGTGGCCTCGGCCCGGATACCAGCGCCTGCGCCAGGGAACTCTTCCCTGGGCCTGAGACCGCAGTCTTTGGGGCGGAGCTCTCCGGGAGGGTAAGGGAAGCGCCGCAGCCACAGGGCTGATCTGATTTGGGTCTTCTGCATGCCAAGGTTGCTCCAGGGAGATGGGTCTTGGGAAACAGATGTGTGGTCCTGGGGGCAGGGGACGAGTATCCCGTCGGGGAGAGGAGAGTCTTGTCCAGATCCCTCCCTTCCAAAACCTTCCCAGAGAGAGCTTTTGGTCCTCAGCACCAGATTCACTCCGGCTGGGCAGTACCTGACCTCTGATGGAGCTCCGGGCTGCCTGGGCAGCCCCTGCGGTGGGAGGACTGAGACCTGAGAGCCCCAGGAGAGGTGACCCACACAGGGACACTCCAGGAGCAAAGGGGAGGAGCCGTGAGAAGAGACCCAGGTCTTGGGCCCACTCCTGCCCTGGCCAGCTGCCTGCACTGAGGGCTGTGCGTGGGAGGGGGCTGCCCGTGAGCTCCTGTGGGACTCCTGCACCAGCCATCACTGGAGAAGCCCAAGGTTGGGCCTGGCATTGCAAGCCTGTCCAGCCGCCCCAGCCTTCCATTGTCCTGTCCACACAGGCTCCTGGTCTGAGGCTGGAATGGCTAGATCCCTCTGGATCTTGCATCATCTCAAGTGTCCCCTCTTACAGGAAACCTTCCCTGACACCCACTGAGCTGTCACCCTGTTCCCCTGCCCAGGCCCAGCACTGACCTGTCTTTGTCACCCTTGCAGCATGCAGCATCCCCAGTAAACCAGGACCTCGGGAAGGTGGGGGCTGTCTGGCTCCCTCGTGCCCTGCCTGGGCCCTGCCCAAGCTGAACCTAGGAGCAGCTGCTGTCCGTCTTCCCTGCTCCCCATGGCGCCGCTACTTGCCCTGTTCCTGATGGCCCTAGTGGGCCTGCCTCTAGGTAAGGGGGTGGACAGAGGATGGACAGATCCACACTTGGGGTCAGGCAGGCTGACCGTGAGAGGGTGGGCAAGGACATGGCTGGGCTGGGAGGGGCTGGAGGAAGGGCCTCTCCCTGTTCTATGACCCCCACCCTCCCGGCCCCCAGCGCAGGCTCTGGACTGCCACGTGTGTACCTACAACGGGGAGAACTGCTTCAACCCCATGCGCTGCCCGGCCATGGTCTCCTACTGCATGACCACGCGCACCTGTGAGTGTGTGCACCCCACAGCTGCCTGGGGGTGCCGCTGGGACCCCTGCCCTGCCCTGCCCTGGGAGAAGGGGGAGGCTGAGCAGGGCAGCTCCACTGGCCTGTGTCCTTTCTGGGAGCACCAGGCTGAGGGGCCTGCCGGAATGGCCCTGTGTTCTGGGGCCAGCCCCTCTTGGGTAGCCCCCTCTCAGGGCAGCCGGCTCCCCTCACCCCCCTTGCAGATTATACTCCAACCAAGATGAAAGTGAGCAAGTCTTGCGTGCCCAGCTGCTTCGAGACCGTGTACGATGGCTACTCCAAGCACGCATCCACCACGGCCTGCTGCCAGTACGACCTCTGCAACGGCGCTGGCCTCACTGCCCCCAGGCCCCTGGGCCTGGCTCCCGTACTCCTGGCCACCTTCTGGCGTCTGCTCTGAAGCTCTGGGCCCCAGCAGATGCGTTGAGGCCCAGCACTCAAGAGACCCAGCCTGCACACCCTCCCCTGCACACCACACTGCGCTTCGGCCTCCCACCCCTCAGCCACACCCAGGGCCCAGGACTGTCTGTAGGAGGACTCCTGACTGCCACCCCGGGCGCCTCCCTCAGGGCTGTGACCTTCTGTTTCCCGAAAGACTGGTGGGGCCCAGACCTCCTAGAAGCTCTGGCCTTGGTGGTGAACTCGCTGCACCCCATCCAGGGGTAGGGCACCTGGCAGAATGCTGTTTGGGGAGGGAGGAGGCATCGGGGCCCAGTGATACTCATGTGATGCTAAGTGTGGCCAGCCCCTCTCTGGGCAGCTCCAGAGGGAGGTCCTTCCTGAGCTGCCCATGGGTGTGCCACGGGAGGAGCCGTCCTGGGAGGAAGGGCGCTCTCTTCCTGGCAGAGCTTCCTCTGTCCTCTGCTGAGGCCAGGGACTGCCCAGGGCAGGGTCGGATGAGAGCCAGTCTGTCCCAGAATACCCACCAGCCTTGGCTTCAATAGGCCCCAAAAGCCTCTGAGACCTCACAGACTTCTCCAGGTCAACCAAGGGGTCCCTGCCCTCTCACTTGGCCAAATCCCTTGACTGTCCCCTCCCCCCACCTACTGGCACTGAATGGGTGTCCTGAGCCTCAGGACAGCGGGGACGTGGGGACAGGTGGGCTGTGCTATATTTGGGACAGTCTGAGCTCTGACCAGGGCCAGGGCTATTCTGGGCAGGGAAAGAAGAGGGCCAGGAGGCCTGGGGGGTGGGACAGATGAGAGGGTACAGGGGCGCATCACAGGTCAGGCCTCCAGGGAGGAGCAGGCAGATGCTGGGGTGTGGGGGACAAGGCCGTGGGTCAGACTGCTGGAGGGGAGTGGGACAGATGCGGGGGTTCCGGGGACGCAGCCACGGGTCAGGCCACCTGGGGTGGGGTGGTGCCCTCCTGTGGATGGATGCTCAGGGCAGTGCGTTTGTGGGGGGAACAGAGGCTGCCAACCCCTGCGGTGGCCTTGGCACGGGCACCAGCCCAGGTCTAGCCTGAACCCCATCTGTAAATCCCATGTGACGAGTGTGGCGGCTGGCCTGGGTCCACGCCTAGTCCGGATGGTTCCATGGCACTGCAGAGAGAGCCAGAGCTGCTGTGGGTTGAAGCACCAGGTCCTGGTGGCCCAAGGAGCGCTTGCCCCACAGGGATGAGGCTGTGTGTCTGGCTGCCCACTCCTGGGGCTTCACAGCTGACTGGGCTCCTGCAGCTCCAGTATCCACAGAGGCCTATGGGCAGGGTGGGGGCAAATGTCCAGGTGGCAGGACTGATCCCAGCCCACAGCACAGCCCTTCTCTGGAGCCTGCCCAGGAATGCTGGAGGGCTCTAGCCTAGCACAGGAGCTCAGGGTGGGGGTTTCCACCCAAATATCTTGCCAAGGACTAGGGAAAACACAGTGGGGAAACACAGTGGGGAGACCCATGCTAACCTGACTGCTGCTCTTGGGGCAGGGCGGTTTTCTGGCCTCATTGTCCCCATCTGATGACAGAATGCTGGGGGCAAGGCCAAGGGCTCAGGTAGTTCCTGAGGAGGGTCCAGTGGAGACACAGAGGTGAGAAGGAGCTGCACACAGTGCAGGGGGCCTACCCACGTCCTTGTCTGTGGTCCAGCCAGGTATGAACCCCACCCCAGGAGGCTGGGAGGAGCCAGGTGCTGCAGAGCAGAGCTCGCTGGACAGTGAGCAGGCCAGGCCAGGTAGAGGCCATGGGTGCTGGTGCAGGCCAGGTCAGCAGGAAAGGCCCAGGAGCAGTTAGTATTGTGCCGGCTCTCTCCCTCCCTCCCATGTGTCCCAGTGGGGTGATGAGGAAGAGGTCTGGGGGTCTGGGTGCTGGGCAGGAGAGCAAGGGCCACTTCTCGCACCTGCCTCCACACCCTCTGCCTGCCTCTCCCCACCTGACCCTGCAGACCATACTGCCACCCCTCCTCTGCACCAAGAAGTACTCAAGGGGTGCTGGGCCAAGCCTCCAGGGGAGAGCCCTGCAGGGTGGGGGACCAGAGCAGCGGCCCCATTACCTCACCCCGACTGGACAATGGTGGTGGCCAACCTGCCCATGCGCCCCAGAACATAGAGGCCCTCATCCCGCCTTTGACCCCAGAGGAAGCAGGCAGAGAGGTGACAAGGTTGCCTTCAGGCAGGCCAGACTCCCTGCATCACCCCTGCCCCACGGTGCAATCCCTTCTTCCACCAGCTGGGGCTCCTTGGAGGCCCAGGAGGAAAAGGTGGGCTTAGAAACTTAAGAGGACTCTGGCCTGTTAAGCAATCATGAGCTTAGGGTTGGGAAGGTTTAGAAGAGAAGTTGGAACCAGGGGCCTGAACTGTGGGGGCTGGAATCAGGGCGACTGGCCTGTGCCTAGGTGGAGGGGAGCCGGGGGTGGGGTGGCTGAGAGCCGCCAGGCAGCAGGGGCCGACCCCTCGCCTGCCTGCATCAGGACCGGACTGGGTGTGCCCGTGCGAAGGGTCTCTCCAGCAGAAATAGGAACACTCAGCGAGGACAAGTGCCGAGGGTTGCTCAGTGCAGCCTATTGCGGAGCCTCGTCTGGAAGCTCCGCGTGTCTGCAGGAGCAGCTGCCAAGGTGCGCCGTGGGCTGTGGGGCTGGCTCTGCGTGCTCAGGTGCCATGGCCAAGTCTACGTGGAGTCCAGTGACGCCCAGAGTGGCAGAAAGCAGCCGGAGCCGCAGGCATCAACCTACAGACAGTGCCGAGGGTTGCTCAGTGCAGCCTATTGCGGAGCCTCGTCTGGAAGCTCCGCGTGTCTGCAGGAGCAGCTGCCAAGGTGCGCCGTGGGCTGTGGGGCTGGCTCTGCGTGCTCAGGTGCCATGGCCAAGTCTACGTGGAGTCCAGTGACGCCCAGAGTGGCAGAAAGCAGCCGGAGCCGCAGGCATCAACCTACAGACGGCCAGGCGCCAGGTCTGGACCAGGGTTGGGTGAAGAGGGTGGGGCCCCTGCCACTCGGCCTTGCCTACCGCCCTGCCCCGGTATCCCCAGGAGCTGGCTGTGGGTGGCCAGAGCAGCCACCACTCCATCTCCCTCTGCAGCATCTGCTGCTCGCCACAAGCCTGTACCTTCCACATAATTCCAGAACTGTGACTTACCATGGAGAATCAAGAGGCCCTTCCTGAGCGTACAGGGGCCGGGGTGCTGGTATTCCTGCCGCCGGCCTGACATCTCACTGGTGGAATTGGACAGTGGCTCCCTGCCAGCTGGCCGTGGGTGTGAGTGCCCAGCCCGGGCCCCTTCTCCCATCTGACTTCCCTGTCCCATGCTGTCACTGGGACGTGGGTCCCACCCTAAGCCCACAGCCCCTCCCTGCTCAGTGGTGCAGCCAGCACCCTGAGGTCCTGGCAGCATCTCACCAACTGAATGAATAAATGGATGGAAACACATGTGTGCCGTTCTCTCCAGCCCTGCCCACGGCCTTGCCTTCCAGTCTGGTCTGGCAGGCTCTTCAGGCCCTCAGCCCTAGACTCCTGGGTCTAAGCTTGTCCAAGTCTGACTTGAACTCGGAGCCAGCCTGGGCACCAAGGGGGGACAAGCAAGACCCCAGTTCCTTAGGAGAGAGGCAGGCATACCCCCTGGGAAGATGGGGTACAGGCTGAGGAAGGCGGCCCCAAGACCTACCCTTTGCTTCTGAGCCTCCTCTGGCTTCAGGCTCCTGACCGCAGCTTCTGGACTCCACTTGGGAAGAGGGTCTGAACCTGCAGCCCCTCTTGCTGTTTCTGGCCCTAAGGAGCCCAGCAGTGTGGGCAAAAGCCGCTTAGATATCCAGAGCAGACACCTGGCCCCTGGCTGGCCATAGGCATGCACACGCACATGCACACACGTGTGCACGACCTCCGCCCACAGCATCTGGGTGCCACTCTCTGTTGCGTCTGCTCTGCACTCTCGCCCCATCCTTAGGGCCCATACCGAGGGGCTGTCTGCTCCCTGTCCCCCACCACTGGGCAGCTCCCTGGATTCTGAATCCTTGGTCACAGTGCTCCCCACCCTGCCGGTCTGGGAGGAGCATGGGAGACTGGCGGTCCATGGCAGATGGGAACGTTCTGGCCTCTGCAGAGATGTGGTCAGCCAGTGTGCCCCAGGGTGGGCATGAGGCTGGGTCTCTGGTTTCTACCCACTGAGGTCTGCTCACATTTCAAGGGAAGGAGTGACTGGCTACTGTGCCAGCCCCTCCTCCCAGGCCACCCTGCAGAGCCTGCCTGTGCCAGGCCACTGTCCATGACCCCCACAGACCCAGGTCATCCCTGCTCCATGGACAGGAGCAGGGCACATCTGAGCTGAGCCAGTCTGCCACTGACTCAGGGCTGCCAAGCCTGGCAGTGGGCGAGGCTGGGCGGGGTGGGCGCAGCAGCAGGTATAAGGTGCCAGCCAGGGCACCCAAGAGCCCCAGTCTCGCCCTGGACAACATGCGGCTTCTTGCTGGGCTGCTGCTGGCTGCTGCCTTGAGCCTGAAGATAGGTGAGTCTGAGTTGGCCCTCTCCTTCCCCAGCCTTCCCCATCACATGGACCCTCCCTGCCCTGCTGGTGGCCCCTAACACTCCTCCTCAGATGCCACTCCTGGACCACAGGGCCATGCAGGTCAGCCCTTGGACCTCTGCACCTCTCAGACCCTGCCCCACCCCAGGCCTCTCCAATTCAATGGTGGCAACCCCTTGCAAACAGCACACATGTACATGCATGCACACACCCATGCTGAGCCTGCCTGGCCTCCTCCAGCCCTCTCTGGCCTGAGTCCCAGCCAGCTGGCCTCCAGGGCTGTATGCCTCCCCATTTCCGGGAGCCTCGTGGCCCTCTGCTCTCCCTTGGCCCCAGCCCTGTCCCAGGTCTTCTCTGTCCTGATCCCTGCCATCTCTGGGTGACCTCATCCCATCCTGTCATGTCAATGTCATCTGACTATCCACATCTGCTCCCACTAGCCCATCTGCCCCAGCTTTGGGCTCTTCTGAGACCCGACTGACGCTCCATGGGACACCCCCTCACACGGCTGCCCAAACCTGGCTTTGGCATTGCTTGGCATCTAGGGACAGCAGCCCACTTCCACCCCAGTGCCTGAGCAAACCCACTGGCCCCCTTGGCCCGCAACTCCCTCATCTGCCAAACTCACCCAGCCCTAGCCTGGCAAGGCCCTTCCCATCTGCAGTGGGGATGGCTTGGAACGCCCTTACTTTCTAGGCTGTGGGTCCCTAAGTGAAGCAGGTGGGGTGAACTTACTGTTTGGCACCAGTCGAGCAGTCTCAGATTCGTCCAGTTTCCATCCCTAGGGACGCTGCCCCTGGCCTGGGCCTTGTGGGAACCCTCTGTCCTGTGAGAGGGTGAACCACTGATCCCAAGGGCTGCCCGGGGTCATCAGGGTAATGAGCTCCATCTGAAAGGCCCGAGATTCTCGGGGGCTCTGAGCTCTACGTGGGAAAGCCTCCGTCACCATCGGAGCTGGGCACGAGTGGCCAGGGGGCCTCCTGAGAGTGACCCTTCACCAGCAACCTCCCACCTTGGTCCAGACCAGGGCATCTCAGCAGCCCCAGCTGGGAGCCAAGCAGCCACCAACTCATCTCCGACCAGGACCTTCTCTACTCAAGAGGATCCCTGAGCCTCCTCCTGCAATCCCAGGGGTGGGGGGGCAGAGCCTGGTGATTCCCGGACCCCCATTGCTGGTGTCTGCTCCCCGCCATCCTCACGCCGGCCCTAGAGGGGCTGCCTGCTGCCTGTTTCCGAGCCGGCCAGAGTCCAGGGTGGTAACAGGACTGGACACCCACCTGTTCGTGCCTCTCTTCTTCCCTCCACCCTCCCTTCCTCTCTGGGACAGGGCGGCCTTCTCCCCCACCCCTGACCTGGAGGTTGGGAGGGGCCAGGTACCCCTAAACGAGAGACTGGAAGCCCTAGCTCTGAGGAACTGGATCGAGTTGGGGCACGGCCTCTGAGAATGGGAGGGTTGCTGGGTGGGCACAATGGGTGCTGTCAACTGAGGAGCCACCCACACCCACCTCTCTGCTTGTGCGTCCCTTTGCCCATCGCCCCACCTGCAGCTGCATCCCAAGCCATGTGGTGCCACCAGTGCAAGGGCTTCGGTGGCTGCTCCCAGGAGGCCAGTTGCCCTCAGGACACCACCCACTGCATTGCCATCGCCACACGTGAGTGGGGTGGGGTGGGTGGCCAGGTGGGGGTGTCCAGGCCTAGGGGCCAGAGTGGGCTCAGGCTCCCAGCAAGTCAGAAGCACACTGGGACAGCGCCCATCAACCTCAGCTGAGGGGGTCCCAGTGAGGGGCCCATACCTGTCCAGTGCCTGGGAATGTGGCCTTCAGAACCTGAGGGCTTCTGTCCTGCTCACTCCAGCGGCGCCCATCAACTTCCCGGGCGTGCCTGTGGTCACCAAGATGTGCTATCGTGGCTGCCCCGACAGTCACTCCCTGGGCTTGGGCCCCTACGTGTCCATCATCTGTTGCCAGGCCAGCCTCTGCAACCACGACTGACCCCCGTGCCCAGCCGGACACCTGCCCAGCACTGGCACCTGCCAGAACCATGCCTGCCCAGGCCTGGCCTGGGGCCCCACACCCTCCCGGGCTCCCCTTCCTCTAGGCCTGGTCTTTGAAGACTGTCTCAGGCCATGCTGCCTCTGGAAGTCCTGCAGGAAGTCTCGTAGATCCACTGGAACTCAAACCCAGGGTCCCGCCTGGGTGCCACCCCTTAAGTGCTGACACACAACCCAATAAAACGTGGCCGGATCAGCTGTCTGAGCTGTCCCTGTGAGGCGGGTGCCACCGCCTAGACTTGGGCTGGAGAGCGGGCGCAGCGGTGCCGCCCCCACGGCCTCCATCCCCACGGGGCCTCCTTGCCCCACTGTCCCCTGACACCCACTCAGCCTCCCTCACAGAACAAGCTCCCCTCTCCAGCCAGACGTCGGTGCTGGAAGGCACAGGGGTCCCCAGGGAGCCGGCTCTTCCCACAGGTGCTGTCCCCTGAGCCAGCGGTGACGGGGTGCATGGGCAGTCAGCCTTCACACACACACACTCACACTCATGCTCACACACACGCTCTAGCCCTCACCTCACACTTCTGCTCTCACACTCATACCTTCATGCTCACTTGCACTCGGATACTTGCACACACACACTCACATTCCTTGGTCCCTTGGTCAGCCCCTCATGGGAGCAGCCTGCCCCTCCCCGGCCTGGGTTCCTGACCCTGCACGCAGCTCCCTGCCCCGGCCAAAGGCCCTGCAGCTGCTTCCTACGCCCTCTTATTTCCCCTAGAAGCCTGGTCCCAAGCCCCACTCGGGAAGGCGCTCTCCCTCCAGCTCCCCTGGCCGTGGGCACAGCCCACGGACACCGCGTTGGGAGTGCTGAGTATGGGAGGCGGCTGCGGCAGACATATGTGACAGCTGTGGTGACAGCGTAGGGAGGACACCTAGTGAGCCTGTTAATGGAAGCTATTGACTCACACCTTTGCCACAGCTCCCCATCAGGCCCTGGGTAAACTACGGGCTGGGAGGTTGAATCAGACTCCTGGTGTGGCAGAAGCTGAAGTGGGTCAGCAGCTGCAGCCCACGTTCCTCCCTGAATGACACCTGCCCACCTGCTGGAGACGCAGAACCCGCCCTCGTCAGCCTTTCTGGTTCTCACCTTGGCCAAGTCGTCTGGAAATGAGGCATAGCACAAACTCGATGTGGTAAAGCTGCCTGGCTGGAGGCACTGTCCCGAGGAGACAGCAGCTGGCCCCAGAGACGGTGCGACCAGGTCCAGGAAGTCAGGGCAGCTGACCTCAAGGGGGCAGGTTCCGGGTCGTTGCAGACACAGAAACTGATTGACATTTATGGAGCCAGGGTCAGCAGGTGGTGTGGTGGTGTGAGCACTGGACTCCTACTTGCTGATCATGGTTTGAGTCCTGGACCTGGCACCTTGGAAATCACACTGGGCACATGTGCTTGCCCTCGTCTCCAGAAAAGCAGAGGAAGGACTGCAGCATGCCTCCCTTCCACCTGCCGGCTAGGAGGTGATTTCTTGCTTTCCCTCTCACTCTCTCTCTGTCTCTCTCTTGAGCACAAGCACCCTGTGGCAAAAAGCAAAAAGCAAAAAAGTGAGAATAAACATTCATTGCAGGGCCTGCCAGAAATATCAGTAGGCTCTTCAACAGAAAGCACAGAGCAGCACCCCGCAGTCAGATCCCTCAGCCTCCGAATGCCCAACTACTTGATCAGTGTCCTTCCTTAACCTTCCCCAAGCCCTGGCTGGGAGGGGCTGAAGGAACTGAGGGGGTACAGATGTGAACACAGAGCCCCAACCTGGCAGGGCCACATCCCTCCCCACCCAAAGCAGGGCTTGTGGTTTAACAGGGAAGCTCAGCCTCGGTCTCTCCAGGGGTCAGAAGGTAAAGGTCCAGGCACTGGGCATGTATCCAGGTGGAAAGGCCAGGTGGGGTCCCTGGTCTGAACACAGTAAGAGGTTGAGCTGGGCCATGCATGGCAGAGGAACTGGGTTAGACCTAAGGAGGGGCCCAGGGTGTGAGCCACGGGGTGTCTGATCCAGTTAGCTGCACCCACCATCAGTGCCAGGTCAGCACACCCCTGCGGTGACATGCAAGACCAGACAGGCTTGGGTTGCAGCTTGGCTGCCACCCAGCCCCGACCAGTGACCTTGCCTAGGTCAGTTAGCTACCTAGAGCCCAGCCCCTTTATCCAAACTGAAATGGATCAGTCCTTTGCACCTCCAGGGCGTCGCCAGGAAAAAGAGATCCGGAACACAGTCTCTGACCTGCCCTGGGTGCTGGGAAGCACAGGTGCCCGCTTACTGCCCACACTCAGGGTACCCAGAGTTCAGGGAGCCACAGCCCTCACTCAGGGTCCCGGGCGCTCAGGGAGTCATGGCTCTCTCAGTCCCTGGTGCCAAAGAGCAGATCGCAAGGGGAACTGACCTGTCAGGGAAGCCCAAGGTTGGATCCCCGTGGCAGAGAGAAGAGGAGGCACGTCCCTGCAGTGGGAACAGCAGGAGCACGGGGAGTGATGACGGAGAGCCAGCGTGAGTCTGCGCATGGCCCGGAGAGACCGTGGCCTCCATGGTTCTGCACTGAGGGCCGGAGGAGGAGCGGAGGACGGCAGAGCAGGCACACCCCGGGGGTGGCCATGGTTGTGGAGCTGTGGCTAGCCCCATCCCCTCCTCAGCTGCCGTCCTCAGGGCAGCCCCTTCTGACTGCCTGGATCCAGGTATTCTGACCCAGGGTAGGTGCTGGCCTTCCAGGAGACACAAGGGCTGGTGTCCCCAAGGTGACCAAGCCCCCTCTTTGCTGCTGGCCCAGCAGTTTCAGCCTTTGTCTCCCTAAGCCTGGAGCAAACTTGGAGGCTGGCAGTTGAGTGCCCACCCCGAAGGAGCTGGGGTACGGTTGAGGACGAGGCTACCCAGGGAAGAGGCCAAGGCAGGGCCTCACCAAGAGCTGCCCTGAGTCAGCAGTGGGGACCCAGTGGGAAGGGTATATGAGAGAGAGCACACCCTCCGCTGCCCACTTCTAGGCAGGGTGGGGCCCCTGGGCACTGCACTGAGCCCCAGTTGTCCCAGAGGAGGGGGGAGGGGGCATAGGGGTCAAGAAAGCCCCGGGCAGGGAGTTAGAGAAGGCGGCAGTTCTCCCAAGCAGGAAGGGTGCCATCCACTGGGAGCACAGGACATGCCCAGTGGCCCAGGAATGAGGAAGGGGAAGAGAGGATCCCTCAGAGCAGAGGGCCTGCCCCAGGGGTGTCCAGTGAAGGCAGGAGGGGCCCCAGTAGGACCGGGGCGGAGTCTCTGTGTCTCCACCGCACCAGAAATCTAATCTTGTTAATCTGCTCGGCCGACCGGTAGGGCCACCACACTGTCTGTGGTCCCAGCCGGCAGGTCAGGAACCATGCAGGGGCTGCGGCTGGCACTCCTGGTTCTGCTGCTGGAGCCCTGCAGGGAGCTTGGTGAGGGTGCCAGTGGGAGAGAGAGTGTTGGGGAGCCGAGGCCACCCCATAAGGAGGGAAGAGGAGGGTGGGATGGGGGGCTGGGGTGGAGTGAGGGCAACTGGCCAGGCCTGGGTGGGCCAGGACCGGGGAGCCAGGGGTTGCACTTCACCCAGGGAGGGCTCTGAGCTGGAGAAGGGAGGGTGGAGGTGTACCGGGAGGCTCCGGGGCTGGGGGCCTGGGAGCCCTGGGGTGGCAGGATGGAGAGAGGGAGGAAACTGGCTGTGTTCGGGTTGTCTGTACTGAGGTCCGAGATGTCCTGGCCGGGCCGGGCCCCCATGCTCAGCCCAAATCAGAGTGTGTTGAGAGGACCTGGGCCCGATGGCTTTGTCCATTTCCCAGAGAGAGAAACCGAGGTAACCAGCGAGGGGCTGAGGCCTCCCTGCAACGTGGTGGGGACGCGGAGTGCAGCCCCCCCAGCTGCAGCAGCCAGACCACTTGGGCTACCGCAGTTGGGTCAGGTGGGAACAGGGACACTGAAGCAGTGTGGCAGCCTGTACCCAGGGCAGGACGGCCTTCGCAGGCAGCCCCTATGGGTGTGCCAGGCAGGTATAGCCCAGCCAGCCCTGCCATTCCTTAATCCCTTGCGACCCCTCACCTGGAGCCTAGGGCTGACTCACCCTCCTGCCCTGCAGGCTCTCCTGGGCTCCCAGTGCCTCCCAAACCCTCCCAAAGCTGCTTCATGCCTTTCCCTCCCTCTAGGAGGGGGCCCCTGGGCCTGACCCTGCAGCTGAGTTTTGGCAGGTGAACAAACAGCTGACCCCGCTATGTCTTGGTCCCCTTAGACCTGGGTGTCAACCCCGCAGACTCGCTCTGGGGGTCGGGAGGGGGAGGGTCTGCCTGACTGACCCTTCCTGCCTCCTCTCAGCGACTGCCCTCCAGTGCTACACCTGCCCGGAGCCCACCAGCGTGGCCAACTGTGTCGCCACCAAGACCTGCAGCGCCAACGAGACCATGTGCAAGACGACACTGTATTCCCTGGAGATCGGTCAGTAGGTGCTAGGTGGCCAGGGCCGGCCCCAGGGCCAAGCTCCTCCTGCCTGGCTGCAGCAGGCCCCGCATCAGCATGCGGCCACCTTCCCGCTGGCCGGCAGCCCCTCTCCTGCCCTTTCCTCCTCGTCCTTCCTGTAGGGGAGTGCACCTTCACCCTTGCTGGGGAGCCACGGGGGAAGGCAGGCTCTTCCCTGTGGGCCAGGACTCCTCTGCAGTGTTGGTGGGAGGAAGGGGTGGAGGGACCTGTGCCAGGCTGGACTGGGGCAGCCAGAGTGGGCCCTGTGCTGGACTGGGCTGAAGCCTAGGGGCAGAAGGGCCCAGCCCTGACACTGACGCTTCCTGCGCCCCACAGTGTACCCCTTCCTGGGGGACTCCACGGTCACCAAGTCCTGCACCAGCAAGTGTGAGCCCTCGGACATGGACGGCATCGGGCAGAGCCGGCCAGTGTCCTGCTGCAACACGGAGCTGTGCAACGTGGACCGGGCGCCTGCGCTGGGCGGCCCCTGCGGCCTGGCCCTGGCGCTCACGCTTCTCCCACTCCTGAGCCTCCGACTCTAGGAGCCCCCATCCCCTCGCCTGGCCCTGTGCAGCTCAGCCCAATTCCTTGAACAAGTGCGGCCCAGTCGCCCCTGCCAGGCCTCCTGAGTTTCCTTTCTTTGCGGACCTGCCCTCTGGGGGGTGAGGGGCCTCCGGCTGCACCCTGCTGTCCCTGTGGGCCCAGTCCCTGTCTCCCTATGGTACGTTTGAGCACAAGCAAGAGAGGCCACTGGGCTGACACCCCAGCAGCGAACCATGTCCTTGCCCTCGGCACTGCAGGGTCCAGAGTGAGTAGGAGCCCCCACCAGGTGGGGTCAGAGCTGGTTCCTTGAAAGAGGGGACTGGGGCCAGGCACTGAGTGACCAAGAGATCTGGACGGGCTGAGGCAGGGGCGTGCCAGACGGAAGGAAGGCCACCAGCATGAGTGGGATATGGAAGGCCCCGTGGAGGGTCTGCTACCCGCTCCCCAGCCCAAGCAGAGCCCTGCCCCGAGGCTGACAGCGAAGGCTGCCGTGGGAAGGCCTGTGCATGCACCCCTGCCACCTCTTCCAGGCCTGCCTTCTCCAGGCTCACCCCAAGGCCCAGTTCCTGGGGGAGGGTCTCAGTGTCTGGGCAGCCAGGAGCCTCAGTGCAGAGAGGCCTTCATTTCACTTTCACTCAGGCCAGTGACAGCGCCCTGCCAGCCCGGCCGGCTCCCAGCCGACTGCCCTGGGCTTGGGGTTGAGACCAGGCACAAACAAGCACGTGTGGACACACACACACATGCAGTGCCACAGACACATGACAAGGGGCTCAGGAACTGAGGCAGCAGAGACCCAGTACCCCCAGGGCTGCTGAAGCGGGGGGTGGGGGCAGACCACCAGCAGGACCCTCCTTCACCAGAACTTGCCCAACTTGCCCTGGCTGCTCTGGTGGCCGCCCTAGGCCCAGGGACAGGCAGCTGGGCCAGGAGTCACACAGCTTCCAACCTTTGCAGCCAGGCTGAGGCAGGGCTGGATACCTTCCAGCAGTGCTCCCAGCCCATGACCCTCAGCTGTCACTTCCTTCAAGGATTCCCTGCTCCCGTGGGAGGGAGGTGGCAGGCAGGGCCTGTCCTAGGTGAGGGTCCTAGCCAATGCCACACTGGGACAGCCTCACACCTGCTCTAGGAGACCTAGTGGCCTCAGCCCTGTCCCTGGGATCCCAAGTACTTCACAGCTGCTCCCGGCCCCCCAGGAAAGATCTGAGGCAGTTCCCAGGGGCCTCATGGTCCAGGGGGCCCCACCATTGGCCCTGGGCCACTGGTCGCCACCCTCCTGGAGAGCTGGGCAGGACATGAGCAGCTTCCCAAGTAGGGGTGACTGGGCCCCATCTAGGGCTGTGGCCTTAGCTTCAACTTCATCAGAAGGCAGGTCTCAGTCATCACGCCACCCTCTCCGCTGGCTTCTCTCAGGTGTCAACAGCAGTGAGGAGATGGGGGGCACTACACTGAGACTCAGCACACACATGGTGCATGTGAGCCACACACCCTGCCACTGGGGACGAGGCCCACCTGTGACCAGAGACCAGTGCTGTCTGTAGCCAGCGCCAGGCCTTCATCTGTGACTGATGTCTGTGTGCAGCCAGAAGACAGGACTCCGTCGGGGACCCGGGGTCAGGGCTGAGTCTACGGCCAGTGTGTCATGGGAAGGTGCTGTCAATGGAGGGAAGGGCCCCCCGCACCCAGCACAGGCTGCACGAAGCCAGTCTGAGCTTCAGCCCCTGTGCTTGACCTCAGCTTCCTTGGCTGGGAGGCCACCTTTTGGGGACCTGGTCTTGTCTTGAGATTCCCTGTGGCCCCAGGTCCTCACCAGACTCCTCCCCGATAGCCTGTGGGGGAGGAGCGGCAGAGTGAGGTGTGGAGCAGGGACCCAGCCGGACCCAGGGCCGCACTAGTTCGGGGCCTGGAGGGGACAGCACAGGGCAGGAAGTAGGGAGATAGGGGAGGGAGAAGCTGAATCCTGGGCCTGGTGGCACGGTCACCCCTCCCAGAGTTGGCAAACAGGATTGCTGCGGCTCTTCCTGGACCTGCCAGCCCCAGAGCTGCTGGCCCTGAGATCAGAGAATGAAGACCACCTCCCAGTCTCACCTCCCTCTCGCCTGCTCTTGCCCTGTCTGGCAAGGGGATGCTCCCCTCAATCCAGGGATGGGCTCCCTGCCTCTCCCGCCTCCCAGGCAGGGGTGTCAACCTTGAATGCAGACCAGGGAACCCTCAGGCTTGGCAAGCCTGGACGTGAGCCAAGATAAGACTGTATCCAGCACCAGCCTTCCAGGGGAGCAAGTAGCACTTGCTGCCCCCACAGTCCCTGCACGTCTCTGGCCTGGCATCTACTCATGCTGGGTAGGAGGTGCACGGTTCCCTGCGGTGGGGTAACCATCCTGATAAGGCCTTCGACCACCCTATGCCTCAGCAGCAGTGCCCCGACCCCACTGCCAAAACATCCTCTTTCTCACTGTCACCACCCTGTCCAACCCACCACGCATGCCCCTGGGTGACTGCAGCTCTCTAGCTGTCCCCAGTCTGTGGGTCATTTGGCATCTAGAGTTGAGAAGGTGCTCAGTACCTGTCCATGCAAAAGTCCCAAGGCCAGGTTCTAGAGGAAGCTGGTGGCTGTTGGGCTCCTCTGCCATCTGGATATGGCTTTAGCACTTGGGGAGCAGGGTGTCACAGGCAGATCGAGTGCGATGGGGAAGGCCTGAGGCAGATCTCTCTCAGAAGGTCGGGGCTGACTGAGAAGTCAGTTCCATCTCCTGAGGTGGGTCCAGCCTGGGTTAACCAAGCCCTGTCAGAGGGAGGCTACAAGCATTTTGTACCCCCAGGAAAGGTGAACCCAAGTTCTCAGAGAGAGTCTAGGTTGGGCTGCAAATGACACCCAAGCTAGGTCTCCAGAAAGAAAGTTGGAAGAAATAACTCAGCTTTCTGTCTTAAACTACCCATCCACCCATCTATCCACCTCTCCACCAATCCACCCATCCACTCACCCATTAAAATATCCATTTACTCATCTATCACTCCATTCACCATCATTTCATCCATTCACCCATCCATTAACCCGCCAACCACTTAGCCATCCATTTGCCCATTCGTCTGCTCATTCACCCACTACTCCATCGTCCACCGTCCACCTATCCATCCACCACTCCATCATCCATCTGCTGCTCCATCATCCATCCACCACTCCATCATCCATCCATACACTCACCCATTCACCACTCCATCATCCATTCGTCTCTCCATCATTCATCCATCCATCCATCCACCCAGCCACCTCTCTATCATCCATCCACCTATCCATCTACCCATCCTTCCACCACTCCATCATACATCCATCACTTCATCATCCATCTACCCACCTATCCCCTTGTCCATCCATCACTGCATTATCCATCCCACCCACCCATCTACTTGTCCATTCATAACTCCATCATCCACCCACCCATTCATCCATCCATTGCTGCATCATCTATCCACCTCTCCATTGCACCATCATTTCCTCTATCCCTCCATATTCCAGCAAATACTGCTTGATGGTTGGTGTGACCAGGCCTAGGTTGTGGAAAGATGATCCTAGAGGAATAGAATTTTCTCTCTGCCCGAGAAGCTGGCAGTCCAGCAGCTCACCAGTCCAGGCAGGGCAGGGTAGGGAAGGGCAGGGCAGGGCAGGGCAGGGCTCTGACTGCATCCTCTGGTAGTGGAAGCCAGCAAGGCTGTCTGAGAAGAGCAGTACTGTAGTACAGTCTGCAGTCAGCCACTCCCTCTGAGCAGAGGGCATGGCCAAGGAGGTAGAGCCAGGCCTCCAAGGACAGGGATGGGGCTGACCCGGCAGGTAACCAGCTGGGTGGGAGGACAAGGCAAAGGCCATGGCTCCCTCTGGAATGAAGGTGGGCTGCAAATGACACTGAAGCTAGGTCTCCAGAAAGAAAGCTGGAAGAAACAATTCGGCCTTCTGTCTTAAACTACCCATCCACCCATCTATCCACCTCTTGCCCAGCCAAGGTGGGAGGCAGTGAGAGGACACAAAGGTACACTTGGAGCCTCTGTCTCCATGGCCTGTTGTCTGCACTTGGACAGGCTCACATGGGCCCTCTCCAACGCCAGCAACCCTGAGGGCTGGGAACTGTCACCCTCCCAAGTTACAGATTAGACACAGGCTCGGAAAGGGGCCGTGACACCCATACCATGAACGACTGGTAGAGCCAGGGCTCACCATCTGCAGAGTAGCCTTGTCCCAGGTTTCAGGCCCAGGGAATGAGTTGACCCCCAGGGCCAGAGATCCTGTGACCTTGGCCCAGTTCAGATTTGTTCTCCCAGTTCACACCTGGGGCCAGAGAGGAAGTGAAGGGTCCCAAAGAGGCATGAGGAGCGGAGGGCAGCTAACTGGGTCTGGATTCTGCCCTGCTGGGCCACATCTCACTAGCAGGTGCCTAGCTGGGGATAGGCCGGGTGGTGCCATTCTGCTGCAGGAAGGCTGTGTGCCCCTCCCCTGGTGGCCAATCTCCCCAGTGCAGGGAGTGGGGGTGTCTTTCCTCCTGGCCTTGGCCTGTGAGGTCCTCATTTGCTTTCAAAGTTAGAGAGGTGGCCCCTTTTAGTCCCTAACCAGCTGCATGGCTCCTTGGCCTGCCCATCATGCCCCAAGTGCACCTCAGAGTCGGCCAGAGCCCACGATGCGACAGTGCAGGGCATGTGCCAGTTCCCATGGCTTCCCTCTGGAGTAGGTATCCCAGAAGGACAGAGTGTACAGAGGAAAAGACGGGAATCAGATTGCTGCCTGTTAGACTTGGGTCATGGGAGGCTGGGGGGAGCCAGCACCAGGCTCCCGGACCTGACATTCCTGGCCTGCTGGTGATGTGGGGTGTGTCTGCCCATCAGTGTGGGTAGGGCTGTTCTTGCTGCTGCACGCCTCCCTGTGGGGGCCCGCGGTTTGATCTGCAGCAACGCAGCCTCTCCCTCTCTAATGATGTCTTTCTGTCATTTGCACCATCCCTCAGTCTCATGCGACTCCCTTCAGGAGGTCATTTCTGCCCTCACAACCTACAGGAACCTACAGGAAACCAAAGTATGATGGGACAAGGGGACACTCCAAGGCCTTGCATGAAGCGGCAGGCCAAGCGCATACCCAGGGCTTGGGGTACAGCCCAGAGCTCCTTCCACCCTGGTCCCCTCTCCACTCCAGTACAGGGCCACCCTAACCTTCACATGCCTGCCTGCCCACCCACTGGTCCAGTCCTCCAGCCTCCCACCCATGCATTCTCCTCCACACCTACTTGATCCACCTAGCCTCGCACATCCACACGCACATCCAGCAAGGCCTCGGAGGACAGAGACTCCGAGGAAGGGCTGTGGAGGGGGACACCAGGACAGGCCCTACAGCCTGGGAGAGACCTGGGACATTGGACGGGAGACCAGGAGGGGCAGCCGCTGAGTGGCACAAGACAGTGTGGGGGTGTGACAGTGAAGGTCAGCTGGGATAGTCAGGCCAGGGGGCTGGAGGCAGGTAGAGCCCTCTCATCAGGGCCTAAAATGAGGAGCTCAGGCCTGGTTTAAGGTTGCCAGTGGGCGACGGTTGGCAGTGATGGGACCAGTCTGGGGTCTAGACCTCCACACCACTCCCACTTGAGTGGCCTTTTCTGCATGGCTGCCTTCCTCCTCTGGCCTCGGCTCCATGAGAAATGAATCAGGTATACGCCAGAGAGAGGGGGGCCTACTGCAGAGACTAGCCTTGGCCCCTGGCCACTGATAGGGTTACAGTTCACATGACCTCCCTGCCAGGCTGTGCTCTGCCAACAGGGTCTGAGGCCACCCTGGATCTGGATTTGGGGCCTCAAGCCTGGGACTGGTTGGCCTCTAAGACCCCAAGGGCAGGTGGGAGGCAGGGGGTTCGCCCAAAGGTCGGTCTGAGCTCAGGCAGCCTCGGGGGGAGTGGGCTCCTGGGCGCTGGAGGTGTATAAGCAGGGGTTGGGGAGTGGTCTTCAGACAGGCTCCTAGGGAAGGCCAGGCTCCTAGGGAAGGCCAGGGACCATCCACCCAAGGCCAGTGAGTGTTGGCAGCTCCTGTGGCTCCACCCAGGGCCGCAGTTGCCTCCCAGTCTGCCCTGTCCCTCCCTACTGACTCAACAGCAGGTTCCCACACCCGCCCAAGGGGTGGTATAAATCCTTGGGTGTCCAGCTGCCACCCCAACTCTGAGCTCCAGTGATGGCCTCTCACTGGGCCGCGCTGCTACTGATCCTGGCAGCCTGGACCATGGGCTATGGTGAGTAGACCAGTGTGGCCGGAGGGCACCAGTCCTCTGGCCTATCTGCCCACCTCCCAGAGCAATGGTTTATGGGAGCTGTGGCCTGAAGGCCTCCGCAGGCCCCACAGGGCTCACCCTCTCACTCTTCATGAGCCTCTGGCCCTGGAGCCCAGCGCACTGGGGCATTCCCTAGGAAGGGAGAGGGGCTGGGTAGAGGGAGATGGCCAGGGTGGGCTGAGACTTTGCCCCCACCTACCTAGGTGAGGCCTTCAGGTGCTTCTCGTGCGAGCGGCCCACAGACATCTCTCTATGCAAGAACATCACGTACTGCAAGCCTGAAGACACGGCCTGTAAGACCACACTGGACATAGTAGAGTCGGGTGAGGCCGGGTTCTGCAGCTGGCATGGTGTGCAGGGGTTGGGCCTTGCTCACACTGCCTTTGCTCCTAGGCAGGGAGGTGGTAGGGTGGGTTTCCCCAGTAAGAGGGGGGCAGCTGTAGCCAAGGAGGCACATTCCTGCCAGGACCTAGCGCTGGGCAAGGGTGGAGGTCCCCCTGGGGCTCTGAGCTTGCTGCCAAGGCTGGCTGGGCCCTGCTGCTCAGGCCGGAGAGCTGGAGGGATAGGGCAACGGCATGGATGGGGGCGTGTCTGCAGCCTGCACTGGTGCAGGCATTGATACTGGCCTGCCCTGCAGAATACCCCTTCAACCAGAGCCCGATGGTGACCCGCTCCTGCACCACCTCCTGCCAGGCCACCGACCCCGACAGCATTGGAGCCATCCACCTTGTCTTCTGCTGCTTCCATGACCTCTGCAACAAGAGGCTGTGGGCAGGCCGGAAGCTGCGCTCCTTGGTGGGCACCCCTTCTCCTGCTGGGGCCTGAGCGGCCACCCTCACCCTACCTCACACCTGCGCTTGCTGGGCCTCAGGTTACTCTGGCCCAAGGGGAGGGAGCTACAGTGGGTGCTCTCCCCCTCCTCCCCCTAACTCATAACAACAAATAAACCAGGCACACATGACTGCTCATCCAGGGCCTTTCTGACCCATTTCACGGATGGGGAGGCTGAGGCTTAAGGGGAGCGATGCCCTCCATGCCACCTTCTGCAAAACAGCTGGGACCTGCTCCTTAGCCTAGGGAACATCCTCCCAGAATCTGGCCTAGAGGCCTAGAGGCACCACCCCACTCCAGGGTGGAAAGGGAGCTGGACACTGGAACCCGGCTTTCTCTAAGGGTGGGTACATCTGGTCCTGCCTGCTCGGCCTGGGCCTGTCCCAGCAGCAGGGAAGGGAAGGCAGGGTGGGCAAGTGGCAGTGAGACAGCCTGCCTCCTGACCCCCGCTGCCCTGGGAGTACTCTTGGGCTCTAGCCCACATAGATCCACAGGCCTGGCTCCCTGCTGTCCCTGTGGATGGTGAGCTCAGAGATGGTGGCTGGAGCTAGGCCCTACGCCATGCCACGCTGCAGCCCTCTGGCATGTCCAGCCAGGGGCCCGAGGCCTGCTCTGGAAGCCTGCCTCCTGTGATATCATGGAGGCAGCAGAGCGACCTCAGGGCTGACTCCACCAGGAGCCCAGAGGAGATGGGCTGGGAGCAGACTAGCCTCAGGCTCCTGCTTGCCTCTCTAGTATATGCAGGGCCAGCTGTCTCTGGTTGGGAACAATGCTCTGCCCCACTGTAGGGAGGTGGGGGCTGAGCAGCTGTGAGCCTGAGGACCCCAGGGCCTTCCTGCCCTTCCAGGACCAACCACTTCCATTAGCATCCTCTGGACTGGGTGCCCCAGGTTCCAACCAGTTAGACTTGGGTTCTAAGGGCCCAGGTCACCGGGCCGTGACCATGGGTCCTGCTGTCACCCCAGGTTCTGGCCAGCTCAGTACGGGGGTGGGGGGGAGAGACAGCAACAGGGTCCCTCAGGACCCTGTTAGCCCTCATCTGTCTTGAAGGGTCCAGCGGTCAGTACCCACCCCCTCTCCCACCTACATGCCTTCCAGGAAATGAAATCCCCACCCTGTGAGGCCCCCAACCAGAGGGAGCTGCCAGATGGCCTCCTTTAGGGCCTCCCACCTGGGTGCCCTACTGGGGGCAGCTGGGCTGCAGCCCCATAGAGCCCCTCTCCTATGCATCGCTGACTTCCAGAGAACCCCCCTGGGCCCTGGCTTTGTAGCCAAAGGCTAGAGCCCTGGCCACTTTGCTGGGCCTCAGCTTCCCCACAGAGCAGGTTCTTTGGAGATGCAGGGGAGGTGGGGTGGGAGAGCCTCTTCAGACCACCCTGGTCACTGGGAAGGCAGGTGGGGTCCATGCAGCAGGGCAGGGCCTCCCGACAGCAGGCACCCGGCAGCAGAGCCAACCCTAGGAGCTAGTGCTCCGACCTTCCCAGCCTGGGACTCCCACCACGAGGTCAGAAAGCTCTGCTCTACTGGCAGGCCTTGAGGACACTCACCTGTCCAGTCTCCGCCACTCTCCCTGGGAACATGACCCATGAGCGGCCTGCCCATGGGGGTGGGAAACAAGCCTGGGGGCACACAGGGCCTCAGGAAGGGCTGACAGAGTGGGGGGACACCACCAGCCCACCCCCCCAAAAATGTGGGGAGCAGGTAGGGAGACGTCTACCAAGGGTTACCTGGCCTCCTGGGCCAGAGTGCCAGGGAGGCTGTTCTGACCGGAGAGGTCAAAGAAGAGTCTAACCTTTCCATTGCTTTAAGAAATCGCGTAACAGAGAGGACTGCAGGCCACCCCCACCCCTCCCACCATCGCTCTCCCGCCTCTCCCCTAGGGACAGAGGCCTCAGCCTACCAAGGAGCCCTGGGTGTCCACTGGAGAGGGACTGTCTTGGCCAGGACACATCCGTTGCCTGGTCTCTGTGTTCCTACTATACTGGGATGCCTGGGATTCTGAGGCGCTCCGGAGCTGGAGGCCAGGCAGAGCCACAGTAAAACTTCAGGGTGGGGTCTGCATCCGGGCCCTGAGAGGACACGGCAGTAGCCAGATGCTGGCAAGCCTGGAAACCAGAGCAGGTGAGGGGACCAGGCTGCCTCGCGGTCCACCTGGTGCCCCAGTATGGGCCATGAGGGGCACCCATCTCAAAAATGGCTGGGAACCAGCAGTTAGCGTAATGGCTATGTCGCTGGACTCCCACGTAGTCGACCGCGGTTCGTGT